TCCCTCTCTCTTGCTTGAATTTTTTTTTTGGCAGTATCTTTACTTATAAGCAAAGGTATGTTTGTTGGCATTGTAATGCACGGTTGCATTAATTGATATTTATTTTGTAAAATTATTTATTTTTGTCTCCGCCCCTCTGTATGTGTGTGTGTGTATGTGTGTGTGTGTGTGTGTGTGTGTGTGTGTGTGTGTGTGTGTTTGTGTGTGTGTGTGCGCGCGCGCGTGTTTGTGTGTGTGTGTGCGTGTGTGTGTCACTGTGTGTGTGGCTGTTTGTCTCCGTAGGTGTTTTAGTATTGGGTATCTGTCTGCCTTTAGGGTTTCCCTAAGATTCTGTCCAAGCTATTATACTGTCACTGTCATGCAAGTTAGCTTTATGTCATGTTTTGCGAACGGAGTAGAAAAGATTTCATTATATGATCCATGATATTTGTTAGAATATGCTGATTTGGTGTTAGTTTTGTACGAAAAAAGACCATTTGGCATCCCCGCTTTCCTTTCTCCACAATATTATAATAAATTAGATACACTCAAAGGGAATGTGAACGTGGTTTTTCTATTTCCTTTTGATAATGCAATCTTTCATTTTTTCATTCTTTCTTTCTTTCATTCATACAATCATAGGTGCTGATGGCATAAATGCCACCGACGTCAGCGGGAATTCTGCGCTCCACAAAGCCGCACGTTCAGGAGCCACTGGTGCTATTCGGGCTTTGATCTCCGCCGGGGCGTCGCTTGATGGACGTAACAGTCTCCGACAAACGCCGCTGTATATCGCCTGCAGTCAGGGTCAAGTGGAAACCGCTCGGGTTTTGATTGACGCGGGAGCTGACGTCATTGCCCACACGATATCCGGTTCCTCCCCACTTCAGGCGGCTGTACACGTCGAAAATTTGGAAATAGTGAAGACTTTATTAAAAAATTTTGGATTAATTCAGAGCAGCGGATTGGTAGCTGGTGGGAGTGGATTTGCAGAAGCAAACCGAGCTTTGGTTATAGCCAGCGGTATGGGTCACGAGAATATCGTCAGCCATCTTGTGAGTTACTGCTGTGATGTAAATAGCCCAAGCGAAGATAATTTTACAGCTCTAATGGCAGCAGCAACTTACGGACATGAAACAGTCGTTAAACTTCTGCTTGCTTCGAATGCTGATCCGAACAAAAGTGGGCGCTTTGGAGAAACGCCCCTGATCCTCGCCGCCAGGAAAGGGTTCCGTGGTGTCTGCAAACGTCTTCTCGTAGCAGGGGCGGATGCGAATTACGCCAACGATAATGGAGTTACCTCCCTTCTTGCGTCTTGCTCCGAAGGTCATGTCGACGTGATGTCTTTGCTCGTCCAAGCCGGAGCTGACGTCAACGGAGGGGGTTGTTGTAGTGTCCCTCCTCCCATTGTGGTAGCGGCGGCTAAGAACAATCTTGAAGCTGTGGCAGTCATTGCTGACTCTGGGGCAGATTTAGAAGCCGTTGATTCTGAAGGTAACTCTCCGCTGTGTTCTGCTGTTCTAGGAGCTGTCGGTCACAGAAACGATGGCGTCGTTGATTATCTCTTACAGAGGGGTGCTGACGTAAACTGTTGCAATTCCCAGCTGGACACGCCTCTGATTTTAGGCTCTCGAGTTGGTGTACCGAGGTTCGCAATAGATCGTTTACTTCAGAACGGAGCTCAGATTGATCACCAAAATGTTTTCGGTGAAACGGCATTAATGATTGCTTCGGAAAATAAACACTATGCTATGGTGGAATTATTACTCAACGCCGGTGCTGATAGCTCAATGAAAACTCAGTTGGGTGAAACAGCGCTAGATAAAGCAGTCAGCTCGTGGGTGGTTGGCAGAGTCATGCAAGAGTCAAAATCGAACAGCGTGTTTTGTTCAAGTACGTCGACGGTCAAAGCATTATTGCAGAGAAAGTGTCCGCCAGGAATAGCTTTACATGTCTCATTATTCCAAAAACAGTTACCTCCCATCATGGCGGACGTGCTGAAGACTTCCAGCCCTGTGCCTTCTCTGGTGGATCTATCCGTGCTCTACCCTCGACGGTCGCCTCGCTGTGTCTACACAAGAGCCACGCCCTTCAGTACCGCCCTCGCTCACGGACACGCCCCTGCTGCTCATTTCTTCCTCCTCAACTGGTTCCTCCACAGGCATGACGTCACCACTCTGGCGAGAAATGCGAAAGTTCGCCGCTCTATCTGCACATCTCGAAATGCCAAGTGCAGTAGACTGTACCAAGAGGTGTTCTCTCAGCCGTGGACGCTAGCTTGCCTCAGTTTTCTGGTTGTGTCCTCTGCTCTCGGATGTGAAGACAGAAGACAGCGTGTGGAGCGACTCATGTTGCCTCACATTTTGGAGAGGAAACTTTTGTTTGAGGACGAGTCGATGTCGCTGCCGATGGACGAATGGGGAAATATAAAGTCTTTAGTTCATATTCACGGAGCGATATCAAAAACCACATTGAAATGATATTAATTTAACTTCGTGAAGTGAGTTAGAACTAATGAAATTATGTAAAATATATGTATGAATTTAATGTATTCAAACCACAAACGTGTTGTAAAGTTGCACCCCTTCAGAGATGGTAAAGGACTCCGATTTGATAAAAATGTTGTCTAAATGTTCGTTTGATAATACATGTATTGTGAAAAATGTCAAATAAGTTTTTGTTTAAGTTTATCAAGCATCAAAATTAATTACCCTTCCAGGAGTATTCACTACAATATTTTAAAGCGAGGTGACACGATCTGGATAATTTAATAATTTTAACGCTGGCTTGACCAGACTGATCGGGAAAGGTGTGAGTGTCAGTTTGAGTACGTATTCCCTTGTCAAAACAAGCTTGTATTTGGTCAGATTCTTGCACGTTCAATGATCCCGTGTCGTGTTGTAAGATTGTTACGCACCTGTTATAATGATTACATAATGTATTTTTATTGTCATCATTATTATACACAAAGAATTGACTACATTGCGCTGGAATATTATAGTTCTGTGTTATCTCTGTGCAAATACGTTTTCAAACGTGAGGCCTTCGGATTAGCGAATATTCCGTTCGAATTCTGTTTATATAATACAAGATCTTTGAAGTAAAACAAAAAGTGCTAGTGATGCCAAGCAGGCGCTGTACAGTGATACTATTTTAACAGAGGGTTGATGCGTTATCTTCTCCTTTACCTTCCCCTTTACGTTCTCTTTGCTGAATGTCAGGGATAGTGGACTACTGGTCATTCAACCTGCAGAGCAACTGATTTTTTCTATTGGGACCGTTTCTCCTGCTTTGTAGGACACCTTGACTTCAGACAGCTGCATTCTGATTCCAAAATTACTGTTTATTGTTTGTTTTTTAAATTGTATTACATGTATCGTTTAATGAAGGTGTTTTACGCTTCTATAGATCAGGCTACTTTTTGAGCCCCTTTTCCTTAATACTGAGAAAAATCACATGAAAGAAGCAATTTTATACACCTTGGGTCATGCTGATAAAGATTCAAACTTAATATTTCGAGAAAACCTTCATGTTGCCATGAAAACATCGTCTATATTGGATTTTTGGCATTTTATGGTGGGTGATGCATTTTGTTAATCATTTTTTGTTTGTTTGACATGATAAGTCCTCTTTTGTTTCGAAATGATCTTGTAGACATATAACTTCAATTCACTAACCAAAGCCATTTTATCTAGCGCCAGTGTATCTCCAAACTCAGAGGACCCAAAAGATGTTAGGGGTAGGGTAAGGAAAGCCTACAGAAAAAATATAACATGAACATGTAGCTAAAAAGTAATGCGTCAGTGAATTGTTGAACTGGATCCATGCACAATTTGAAGACAATATCTTGAAGAATTAAAAAATTGATTTAAAAAATAAAGAGAAGGGTTTTCACTTGCTGAGCATGTCAAATAACGTGGCATTCATGAGCATTTCTGTTCTACTTTGGCTCGTTGCCGAGGCCACTGGGTGTTTTAATGGTAGTTTTGATACTAAGGACTTATCATTCCATCTTACAATTACGGGGAATCAGAAGAAGAGTAATTTTACTGACAGAATATGTATGGTTCCAAAAATTGATATCTGAGCTCAAAACTGGTTTTAAAAAAATATTTAAAAAACGTCTGCCCCCTTAACTGGGCTTCGAGGTTGCGTGTCAGAACTAACTCAGGCTGAGATGGATACAACATCCAATCAGACATACCGGAAGTAAAAAGGGACATCGAATGGCGATAGATGTCAAACCTCATTCTTCAGTGTTTTTGTCATGTTCATAGACAGTGATTGAGTAAGTCAAGCTATATATATATATATATATATATATATATATATATATATATATATATATATATATATATATATATATATATATATATATATATATATATAATAATAATAACAGATATGGGAAGAACATTATGCACTGTGGTTTATACAAACCTCCCCAGCTCCAAACTCTGGTTTTTGAGCATCCAATGATCGAACTGAAAGTGAATTTGGCCATGAGAACTTGTATGAGAGTGCATCTGCCTTGAGATGATAATAATAAATATGTTAGGCCACTTTAAAACAACTGAACCCAAAGACACGACAGCACAAGAAGATTAACTCTAAGGAATTTTTTTTAAAAGTAAAGCGTCTTCATAAAATTCACGGTCGCAGATGTCGCCACCGGCGCTGACATGTATGATACATGACGTAATCATTAATTTTCCGTACCCTTTTCCCTCTTCCTTCCTTCTCTTTGAATACACGTTATGAATAGCCCTCGCCGTAATTGATAAATTAATAGCGCTGGCTGCATTTGACATGAAAATTCTATGTGATATTGTCATGTGTATTTTTAGGTCGCCATTTCATTAATACTAGCCAAAGAAGAGGAGCGACCCTTTTCTTTACCCTATCCGTACGCCCTGGGATCATTTTGTACCCCCGGGGTTGTATTCTTTCCATTTTTAGAATACTTCTAGTGCGAATATCTCTTTGAAATTGTCAGTATCTACTATGAAAAGCATACGGACCGGATTAACGAGTAAATTTCTTCTTTGGAAACTGGGGGCACAGAGTTCCCCACGTCGTATGGATACGATAGTAAAACACGACGTACGGACAGGGTTAAATTGTAAATCCTTGTTGAAATGCAATGTTCTCTCGGTGCACCGAGATCTCAGTTGGTATTATGCTGGATTTCGGAACTCATGGCCCTGGTTCGAATCACCAACCAAGCGTTTAAAAACTTTGGATGTTTGGGGAGATTTTCAGGCTCTCCACCCATTCAGCTCGGTGCTAAAGAAGGCGGACGTTAAATTCTCAAGTCCCATTTCTCAAATAACGTTACAGTATATGATAGGGCGTTAAACCCATACAATAGGCGATGGCAGGATGCTACACCGTTGTGACCAGAAATTATTCAACCAATTGAATAATAATATTATATAAATTAGTTGTTTATGATTTTCTTTATTTGATTTGTTTGTTACGATTCATATGCCTTCGTACACCCTTCCTTCCTTTAGGCTATTTGGAAAGTGATGACAATATAATATCAGGGGAAAAATAAAGAAATAAGTGCTCCAATTTCCCCCACCCCACCCTCCGGTTCGCACAAACCCCACATATTTCTATAGATATATAATATGAAATACAAATAGAAACAAACACAACTTATAAAGCAAACGTAAAATGTGTTTCGACGCGGTGGAATCAGGCGCTCTTCAATTTTTTGGGCATATGGAGTTATTGGCATCATCTTGAATTTTGTTTGTTTGTCTTGCTTTCGATGAAAAAATACCCATTTATCTTCGATGGGAGTCGAGATAGATCTATGTCGAATTGAAACAGATGAGGTCACTTGGTTTCAGAAGTAAAATTAGAGAGAAAATTTGACGACTTCCAAAGCTTGAGATTCATTGAAAACGGTAAATTTACGTGTTTTTTTTGCCTTTAATCAACAATTGTCAGCCACACAGCATTGTGTTTTTAAACGGACATAAAAGGTTCTAAGCCAAAAAGTAAAAATTCCATAAAAGTTGCCAAACGGGAAGAAAAATGTCGTTTTCTTCTATTTCATTATTTTGACGAGCGCCTGATTTCAACACGGTGCCTCACAAATACATGTACTTACTATACTGACAAAAGTTCAGCCCTCGATCCTTAATCCCACGTATAACGTACATGTATAAAGATGTAGCAAAATGTAATGGAATCTTATATGAAAACCATTAGGAAGTGTAAGTTACATAGAATGGAAGAGACGATCAAACGAATACAAAAAGCAATATTTAAAAATCAACGAGGTCGGTATATATACTTTCTGTTTATTTTGTTTCTGCAAATAGAAATATCACAAGTAAAATGGCCTTCGTGATTTGAATGACAAAAACATTTTATGGTCTAGAGTAGCTGGAAACATAAACAGTTAGGAGGCAATCAAAAATTATTCAACACTTATTCTGATGCCAAAAAAGTAGAAACATAAGTAGAGTTTTGCATTCCATTTGACACAGTAAGGTCAAGTTAGAAGTAGGATTTCGCAAGAGCCACGGTGACGGGGCTTAAAAACTAAAATAGACATGATTAAATTAATTCATTATATTAATGCCTAAAACTCGCCTCGAGCCTGATGAACCTCGTATCTCTTCATCGGCGTATTGAAACCAATCACAAATGTGGACACACAGACGTACGTACATACATACGTACGTACATACATACGTACGTACATATATACACACATACATACACACAGACAGACAGACAGACAGACAGACAGACAGACATACACATATACACACAGACACGCACACACACACACGCGCACACACACACACACACACACACACACACACACACACATACACACACACAAACACATACACACGCACAAACACACACACACACACACACTCACACATACACACACACAAACACACATACAAACACATACACACGCCCACACGAGCGCGCACGTAAATGTCTCTACTAAGCTGTCAACTATTCCTCCGCTAGTTGGGGTTTTTTTTGTCTTTGTTTTAGTCTAGGCGAACTCAATGGGGCCACTGCCGGTCACTTCAGAGCCGAGTCAGCTCTTTGAGATATAACAATGTTCTTCAAAAGATTTGGAAAGGCTTGGCTGTTACCAGGATCAAAACTGCTGTCTTTTGGATATTAAATTCCACCTTCTTCATTCGAAAATAGCTCGATTTGTATTCAAGATAAATTTCTGTTCAAAGAAAGACAAATGAACAAGCTTTAAGACGGTACTAAAAACTCAACATGCCCAAAAAAAATGACAAGAGCCTGATTCCACCTCGTCGTGACATTTATGTTAGTTCCCAGCTATTTAACAGTTTGGAGGGACTTTGTACTTAATCAAATCTTAGGGTGGTACTGTTAGTACATGTATTATAGCTCGGGGGTAAAAAAAACTGCTGGGTTTAGAAATAGAAACAAATTGAAAAACGAACAAACAAAAATTTAACTTATAGTGGTCATTTTTTAAAAATAGACCAAAACATGAGC